TGAACGACCGAAAATAGCCCTTCGTTTCAGGCTAAAAAGGCTCTTGCCATTTTTAGTTTGAAACGTTTTAGTTTGAAACGACACAGGGACTGTAGGCCCCTGTTTTCAGGCTGAATTCTAGGCTTTTTGGCTGAAGGGCGCAGGGCCTGGAAAATGGCCTGTGTGTGCAGGCGCAGCATGTAACAGACAGTGTGCAACTGGGCTAATGGCCAGGCAATATAGCGTTGTGTTAATGACCAGATGGTGTGTACCATTATGCTAATGCCCCGACTGCACAACTCTGGGCTAACTGCCAGACAGTGATGGCACAAGGGGGTTTGGCGATTTTGGGGGTTGCTTGGATCTAGAATGTGCATGAGTGACACGTACGCACCAAGGACACTTGTAAACGGATGATTTTGGTGTACACAGGCAGTGCCATGGAGTATCTGTTATTCATGGAGAGTCTATTCTGCTCTCCATTTCCACGGTTCTCACCGTCTACCCCTAACCTCCAGACAAAGCAGCATTCTGCAAACGGAGGGCCAGACAGGTCCGGTCATCTCCTAACCATAAACACCGGGACTACCCCACTGGGACAAGGGTCAGACGCTCTTCACCATAGGACTACCTTCTTCCGCCGAACATAACGCATATGTGTTGTATTCAAGTTTTCAAATTTGAAAAAAAAAAACAAATAGAACGCATATGTGTTGTGTCCTTCGGGATGTCCGTTAAAATTGGAATGATACAGAGAAGATTAGCATGGCCCCTGCGCAAGGATGACACACAGAAATTGAGAAATGGTTCAAATTAAAACACACACACACACACACACGCACACACGCGCGCGCGCGCATATGCGTTGTATTCGAAATTTAGGGCTATTTGAATAGAACACATGTGCGTTGTATTCGAATAGAACGCACCCTGTGCGTTGCATATGCATTATGTTCGGGGGAAGAAGGGTAGCAATCAAACAATGAACGCTAGGGCTAACAGCCAGACAATGTACCATTGTGCTATGTACACAGTGTGCCATTGGGCTAACAGACAGACAATACACCATTGGACAAATGGCCAGACAGTGTAACATTGGGCTAACGGCTCGACACAGTAGTGGAGACTCTGGAGAGGTGGTTAAGACACCAAATTTGGCATACCGTAACCTTACCTGAAACAAAAAAACAGGCAAAAAAAAAAAAAATAATAATAATCAAAAATCAAAAATACACAAAAAACTATGTCTCCCAGTCCTTCGGGACATCCGTTAAAATTGGAACGATTGCAATCAGACTCGTTTTCAAACACACTTTTCATGCATGTAAACAGCAACGCAGCATACTGGCGACATGCGCCCACTCAAAACTCAGAGATATGGCTTTCAGATACGAGTTCACTCTCAATTGGCTATGGCGACTTCAGCGCCCAAACATCTCACTGTTCACATAC